ATTGGTTGTTTTAAAGTCCTGCTGTGGTGCTGTAGGATAAGCACTGGACTGTTAACCACAAGGTCGGTGGTTCAAACCCACCAGTCACTTCCCTGGAACTCTAGGTAGGGCCACTATAAGTCAGTACGTAGGTTCACACAAGGTAAGTTCTCACACCTTAGAATAATCAAGAGGGCAGCAATTATCCAAGAACAGAGTTCAGGAGGGTTAGTGAGGAGGAGGACTAGAGACAGGAAGCACAGGGCAGAAGTGGGATGAGTGATGTTACACGATGGGGATCGTTATCCATGAGGTGAAACAAAATGCGTGTAAATTATTGAATGGAAAGCTGATCTGTCCTGTAAACCCTCATTAAATTAACATAAAAAGTTGTTTGTTTTTTAAAAAACACTAAAATATGGACCCAGGCACTACTGGGTGACCAAGGATGAGTCTCACAGCCTTGGTTCCTTCACCTAGGATGAGGCTTACAGGTGACCTAGTGTAAGCTGAGAATTCCACCTGCAAACAGCCAAATGAAGAGTGACAAGCTCTTTCCCTGATGACAGGGAGCAGATGGCTCATCCTTGTACCTTATACACCTCTCAGCCCAAAACGTAAGCAGCCCTGGTAGCATGGTGGGTTATGTGTTGGGCTGTGAACGGAAAGGTTGGCTGTTCAAACCCACCAGATGCTCCTTAGGAGTAAAAGAACTTTCTGGGTTATGTCAATTGATCTTGGTGTCCCCCAAGACCATGGTCCTGGGTCCCCAGGCCCAGCGTGGATCCAGTTTCTAGCCCAGAGTCTATGCTAGTGGTACCTCACACTGCCCTCTGTTCTTACAGCAGGGGGAGGTAGATATACTTCACTACAAGACTCACAGCCTCGGAAGCCCTACCCAGGGCTGCCAGAGGTTGGAATCAACGCCCATGGGATTGGTTTGGGCCCTGGGTACAAAACACCCTCCAGATGGCAACCTGTGAGTGCAGGCGACTGTCCCTGGGTGAGAGGAGCCGGGTGAAGGGCGGCAGCAACACCTGGGGGTGGGGGTGGTGGCATCCGGGGTAGAGCTGGGGCCGGGTGGCATGCAGACTGAGGTGGCAGGCTCAGCCCCTCACCCCAGGACCAGCAGCTCCTTGGCATGGAGGAACCGGGAGGGTGAGCCTGGAGGTGGAGGGTGACTACCTCTACCTGGGCATCCATGGAGACGGGTCTGCAGGGAGGCTGCAGAAGGGGGCATGTAAGAAAGTCACGTCATTTTTACCTAACACCGATTTTCTTTGGACCCTGATTACCCTGCTGCTGAGGAATGGGCCTGTTTGTCTTTTGTAAAATGAAGGGATCATAAAAGTGGTTACGCTTAACAATAACAAAAATCAAGTACAATGCTGAGTCTAGAGTCTATCATGTAACACAAATATGGTGGGTTGGCTGAACAGGTCTAGAGAATATTGAAGAATATTAAATACACCACAGACCAACTGAAGAACAAACAGATCTGTCTTACAAGAGGTACATCCCGAAAGCTCCTTAGAAGTGACAATGGTGGTTCGAACTGCTGGCCTTTTGGACAGCAACCTAACCTAACCTCCCACCCCACCAGGGCGCCTTTAGGAGGGGAGAGGATCTTAAACGTCCACCACTTTTACCTCTTTCCAGTCAAACTTCCGTGGGCTCCCATCCCAGACCGTTGTTAAGACTTAGCAAGGAGCCCTGGTGGCGCGGTAGGTTAAACATCGGGATGCCACCCGCATGGTCAGCAGTTCAAGCCCACCAGTCCCTCTGGGAGAGGGACGAGGCTATGTGGTCCTGCTCACCTGTCGGAATGGGCTCAAGCTGGGTTGGGTTAGGGTTTCCCTCTTTCACCTTCTCTCCCAGGCTGCGTTCTGTCAAGACGGGAAAATGTTTCATTTCTCCAGGAACTTCTTGGAAGCCCCTTGAATAACAGTCTTTTCGCATGGGATGCTGCTCTGGGGGAAATCGCTTTAGGTAAGCAGAGGAATGCCTTCTGCGCCAACACAGTGATGATTTCCAAAGTGTGTATTCTATCTCATAGACACATCGCAGACAACCCGGACACACCACACGTAAACCCCACGAGCACAAATAAACCGACTTTAATATTTAATATTATTTTGTATTCATATAACGCCTTCTTCAAGGACCTTAAATGCTTTACAGACATGGTATCGAATTAATCCCCACAACAACCCTGTGAGGTAGGTATTACTCCCATGTTACAAGATCGGGAGACTGAAGCACAGAGAGGTTAAGTGACTTGCCCAAGGCCACACAGTTAAGTCCAGTGACAAGGCAGGACCTGAGCACCTTAGCCTCCCAGCCCCCAGTTCAATACCTCAGGAGAGACTCTGTCATGAAAAGTGTCTTTAAACAAAGTGTCAAGAGTAGTCATGTTATGAATGTGAGGCCTTTCCCCCAACCCTTGGGGGAAGAAAAATCCCAATGCTGATGGTTAGAGACTTCGAGGGCCACGGACTACACGCTCGAGTCTTTCTTGTTTCTTCAAGTCTCACGGCCCCTGTCTTAAGTCTTTTTACCCCAAAGGTTGGGTTCCCAGGACAGAGGCCGTGCGACCTAGAAGTAGGATTTAATTTAGGGTATTTACTTTTAGCTAAGATAATTTATAGAAACAACAAAAAAATTTTTTTTCTTCATTCCGATATACAAAACACAGGACAGTCATCTGAGCAAGCAGTCAAAGCAGAGCCACACAGCCATCAGCCACCACGGACCACTTAACGCCTACCTTCCTTTCAGCCATACAGACCACCAACGCTCTCTCCCTCCGAGCCCTCACTCCAGACCTTCTGATACGCCTGTACACTTTCTACTTTGATGTCAGCTGCAGTAAAGCTGAGTCCCATGGCGCCCCCTACGCCTCCCCCCTGACAAATCTGGTGATGATGTGAATAAAATGGGCGGCCGCCATGGAACTGATGAACATGCCAACACTTGCTTTCACGCGGCTTTTACAACTGTTTGTTTTGTGTGCGCGTACGCTTCATACAAACTGTAAAAACCAACACCACGGAGTGTTCCAGGCTGCATTTTTAGGCAAACGACTTCACCTTTCTTACTGACACTTGCTCTGGTTGAGCTGATAGAACTGAGCCCACTTTCATTTTACTCTTGGTCTCTGGACTGGGAAGCTACAGCAATACAACTCTCAATCTCTTGTGGTGTAAACCCTGAAAACCAAGCAAAATGAAACAACAGTGTAAACCCCCCACCCTTCCCACTGCTAGGATTTCCCCCACCTTCATGGCTGTGAGTGTCTGCAATGCAGGTAGACTGGGCCTAGGCTCTGCTGAATTTGCACAAAAACATCTCCTCTTAGGCTAAGGCTTTAGGAACGGTATCATAAAAAGCAGGTTCGTGGAAATGCACCATCCCTTTCTCTCAGCACGTGTGTTTCGACAGCCCAGTCAGCTACGAGCGACCCTGTTAGAGATCTGTTCATGGGACGAATGGTTGAGGTCGTTTCCTGAGCGAGAGGATCCAGGCAGTGAAGGTAACCACTAACAGCAGACAGAAAGTGTTCTCTTTTGCTGTGGTCTGGTTTCATGTTCAACAGGCTTAGTGAAATCACTTCAGAAAATGACAGCAATTTAAAAGATAAACCACTGCCTTAAGAGGCTTGATACAGAACGTCCAAGGGCCAATTACGATTTGGAATATTCAATTGCTTTCTGCAAGTTACATGTGCTCACCGGCACACAACTTAACGGTTGCGTGGAAAAGGGTCAACCGTAAATGAATGTGTTTTATGTATACTTTTATTACATATCTCTCTTCTGAAAGACCCCAACAGAATGAAGTCTTAAACAAATGCAGATTTCTACTTCTGAATGGTTTTCCAGTGTTTATTGATGGCTGGTTGGTTTTTGGTATTCCTGATCTATTTGATTACAATTTAATCTCTAAAGGGTTTTTAGCTAGCTCCCGAGGCTGCTGGGGTTATCAAGAATGGATTACTTCCTCCCAGGGTCAAGAATGACATGTGAAAATAACGTTAACTGTTATTGGTGTGAATTTTCCAAGCATGGCTCAACTTTAAACAGAATATTTCCCAACTCCGAAGACTGATATCCTACCACTGCACCGGAATTTCTTGACTGGTTCGAACAGCTACAGGGAACTGGAATCATTGCTTTGTTGTCGTTGTTGTTTTTACTAAAACTAAAATTCAGACTGAGTAAAATAACTGACTTAGAAACTATAACCAAGAGGCGACTACAGAGACAGCGGTTCCTGCAGAACAACACCACCGACCTCCTCTCAGTGACATTTTTCTTCAGGTATCATAACTGCTTTCAAATGGACATGAACACTCACCTTAACAGAAACAAACAAAAGGACCAGTGAAACTGACAAAATCTAAGAAGACCACGTCGCAGAATGAGTGACAATCGTGGGCACTTCACACAATACTTAAGACTCTACCAGTTTTAAGTACAATAAATAAGACTAAAAAAAAAAAAAAAAAAAAAAGGATTAATTACAAAACCAGTCTTTCCCCTGCTATTTCCGACCAATTGTTCCCTACACATGTATCCGCCAGGTACAGGTGGATGAGCTTCTTCAGAGAAGCAAAACTGACTGGTCTTCCCGTTCGCGATGCTGGATTCTAGTATCTGTTAGTTTCGTTATGTCAGAAAGGCAACTGTAAGCTTTGAGCCCCAGAGTATTTCTGGTTTCTGCTGGAGACAGACCAAGCCAGCCACCACTCAACGCACTGTGGGCTCATACTGAATGTGGGCGGACGAACACAGTGCGTTCCATACGACCTTCTTGCACCATCAATACAGTCTGGCACAGATTTCTACCCTTTTATCTCTTACAACCCGAGGAGGTCAAAACATTCCTGGTGCATCGGGCTGTGAGAAGACCCCTGCCTGTGGCTGGAGGCTGTCAGAGGGGAGAAGCTGGCATCAGTGGTGGTGTGAACGCACAGACAACACGATACCTGAGCGGGAAAATCAACTACCAAGACAGGGAGGGTGTGCAAAGTGTGCTGCTGCCCCTGAGCTTCCGGCGGGTCTTCTCAAAAAGTCAGCGTGGGCTCCTTTCCAAAAGGACCAGAGAGGGAGCCGGGTGGAAAGTCTCTAAACTGTCCCCAGTCAGTCCCGAGACTGATAGAAAAGAATGTAGCCAGACTCGGAGTTCTTTGAGATATCAGACGTCAACCCGTAGAATTCTTCAATAGCTTGTGCATCTATCTTCTGTGGGGCGAGAGGGAAAGGGTGTCAGTCTGTGCTGCGGGCCCCCGCCACCCGAGTCACTCCCTCACTTCATCCCACCCAACTTTTATTACAGGATATTGGTATTACGGAGTCCCGATGTGGTGCTGTGGGTGAATGAGCAAATTCAGTTTGAACCGCAAGGTCAGTGGTTCAAGCCCACCAGCTGCTCCTTAGAAACCCAATGCAGGGTTGCTATGGTTGGAACCGAATCGACGGCACTTCATAACAACAACAAACTATTATTACAAGACACTGTTGCCACTGTTCGGTTATTTGCTATTGTTAATCTCTTACTGTGGTTGATCTCGAAATGAAGCTTCACCACAGGTCTGCATGAATGAATGTACAGGGAAGAACATAGTCTCTGTACAGCAGTTTCAGGCACCCACGGGGGCTTCTTGGAACGGACCCCCAGTGGATACAGGGGGAAGCACAGTAAATGGATGTTCTGAACTGTTTATGAGTATTTCACACCAGGGAGACCTTCCCCATTTTGTAGCCAAGGCCTTCATTTTTTCACTTACAAGACAGCTCTGTACACCAGTGTGACTTGAGACAGAACATTAACAATCCCAAGTCCTGGCCAGAACGTGAGGTGTAAAATGGCACAAAACACTTTGGAAAAAGCTTTGGAAGTATTTTCTAGAGAAGAACATGCAACTATCTGTCCATCTAGCAATTCTACTGCTAGGAATAAGACTGTGGTTGTTAAGGGCCATCGAGTCAGTTCCGACCCATAGTGTCCCTATATAAAGATTTCCAAGGAACAGCTGGGCGCTTGAACCACTGACCTCGCGGTTCCAACCAACTTTGTGGTGCAGTGTGTTAATTCGCAGCACCACACCAGGACAGGAAAACCATTTGGGATCTACAAAAATGACAATTTTCTAGGGCCCAAACTAACACATAGGAAGTACAGGTGACTTTGTAGGATAAGCACTAGACTGCTAACCACAAAGGCAGCAGTTCAATTCCACCAGCCAATCCATGGGAGAAAAATGAGGCTGTCTGCTTCCGTAAAGATTTAGTCTCGGAAACCCTGTAACCTTGTTGTGAGTTGGAAGCGACTTGACGGTATCCAACAACGGTCACCTAATACGTGCTCAAGCGAAACGACGCTGACCATGGCTGTTCAACATTGAATGTCTAATCTGGCATATTCATACAATGGAAAACAGACAAGAATAGCAACGAGTGGGAAAATGCCAGACACAAAGAAGGTCTTCTTGTTTGCTGTTGTTGTTCAGTTCTGTCAAGTTGGTTCCAATCATAGCAACCTTGTATAGAGTTTCCGAGGAGCAGCTGGTGAGCTTGAACCGCTGACCTTGTGGTTCACATCAACTTTGCAGTCCAGAGCATTAACCCACATATATTTAATATATATACATATATTAAATATAAATGTAAGTCCATTTATATTTAACAGGAGGCAAAATCAGTCCTCATGATAAAAGTAAAAAACACTGCATCCCATGGAAAAATAGAGCAGCTGAGGACTCTAGACTCATGGAAAGAGAAAGGCTGTGTGCTGGTAGCCAGGAGGCAGGCTTGCAGAACGTGCCCTTTGGTTGTTTAAATGATTATATATTCGTGGTGTTTTTGCATACATCCTCCCCCCCACCCCCCAAAAAAAACAACAGAAGGAATAGAAGCAAATGCTGTAGAATGGTAATGCATGGAGGAGACTGTAATCATTGCAATGAAACGATGTGTGTAAAACCCATGTTCTCCCATGTAAACTAGCACTCAGTTCACAATAAAAACTTAAATACTGCCTTCCAGAGTCAGAGGGTGGAGGATGAGGGAGTCTGCTGGGCTGCTGAAAGTATGCTCGACCCTGCTCTGGACGATGGGCACAAGAGTGAGTGTGTGCACACACATGAACGCATGGATAGGCGCATGTGCGTGCAACAATTCCCACGGCTACGGTTTGTGTCTTGTAGCACATTACAGTTCACTTTTTTTTTTTCAGAAAAATAATCTAAGAGGTTTTAGAAATTACACCATCTTTGAAAGCTAATTCTAAGTGGCAATGGCCACCGAAGCACCGGGGTGAGACATTAAAACATCAAGTCGATTCTGACCCATGGCAATCCATAGAGGGTTTCCAGGACTGTAAATCTTTAGGGCAGCAGACAGCCTCATCTTTGTCCTGTCGAGTGGCTGGAGGGGGTTAGAGCTGCTGGCCATATGGTCAGCAGTCCAGGGCTTGTCCTAAACACCACCAAGTTTAGATACTGGTTGTTGCTAAGTGTCATTGAGTTGGTTCCAACTCACGGCAACCCTGTGTAGGGATTCCAAGGAGCAGCAGCTGGTGGATTTGCACTGCTAACCCTACGGCTAGCAGTCAGTCCAGTGCTGACCCAGGACTGGGCATGAGGGACGTGGATTAGGAATTAAAGTATACTTTGAAGACCTGGGCCTCTGTCTAGTACTCATCAGCATAGTCAGATGCGAGGCTGTGAGAGATGAGTTAAGAGCCAAACACAAGCACAACATAAGACAAACAGGAAATTAAGACACTACTTACTTCTACAATGTCGTCATCAAACAACAACCAAAAATCATGACTCTTGACTATTGCAATGTAATGTCCTCGATTGGGACCGCTGAAAAACAGGGAGAGAACAATTACTTCTGCACAGTGCTCATCAACAGCCCCATTTTATGCCCCAATCATGCTATATATAGAGAGCAGGGAAACGAAAACCGAAAAATACCCCGTCCCTATTCTTTGCAAAACAAGAACAAGCTGCGCTCCTCTGAACTTGGAAACCAAACGTAAGTCCTGTCTGAGGAGAGGCAGAGCTAGTAATCTACTGACATCAACGAGTTTTATAGAACGGAATTTTGAAGAAAGTCTTATTAGAGTTATTTATTGTCTTTGTAATACTTTTCAATTTCTTTGAAGCAAATTTTGTTTGGAATTTGCTTCTGAAAGATTTAAGAATTCTTCCAGTGCATTTATGCATTTATTCTGGTCACAGCATACACATGCGCAGTTAAACTCAAAGGCAACAAACACAGAATTAACTCTAAATCTCAAACCCTTGGTACCAGTGGTTCTGTTTTGTTTTGTTTTTTCCCCCCTTTAAGGAAAGCTCCAATGTGATACTTGAGAAGACAAAGATTTCATACTAAATGGACCGTTCTGAAACCAACATTGAACTTTGCAATCGTCCTTAAAAGTAAATGGCATCTGCCCAATGGTTGGTACCATTCGTGCTGTCTGTATCCAGCTCTTCGCCCCGCTATTTATCATTGTAATGGCCTCTGGATCTCATTTTAAACAAAAGTAGAAATGTGGAAGTCTTTCTACGCAGAAATGCAGAAAAATAAATTAAGGCAGGATGATGTCTTTTCAAAGGAATGCTTTGTTTTTTGAAAGGACATGGCACAAAGTTTATTCGTTTTAAAGCTTATATAGACTTTCAACTAATTTTAAAGACGTTTGTCAACTTAAACTCCGTAGTTACAATTCCGTGTCACCTCCCGTCCTGTCTAGTGGTTCCTAGACTCTCTGTAGCACCTTCGGTGATACAGAGACACAAACGAGATGCTTTTTATTAGAGGGAGACGCTTCCAAGTGAGAACGGAACGCCTTCTAAGGTACGAAGAAGTCTATCTTCTCCATTTCTCTGGGACTCGAGTTTAAGAGTCTTGTGTTTTCACAGGGAAAGGATGCTGCTGGGGATAAGCAGAGTCCTGCTGTCACCGTGACCCCACATAGGGTTCCCGAGGCTGGACAGCTTTACGGGAACACACAGCCTCATCTTTCTCCTGTGGAGCACCGAGTGGGTTTGAGTGGCTGACCTTGCCGTTAGTAGTCCAGTGCTTATCCTACAGTGCTACAGCAGAACTCCACACAGGAAAAGGCAGGAAATGAAAAACTTAAAAAACACTACCAACAAAATAAAGTAGAATCCCAGAAAGATCGCAGAATGGAAGCTGAGAAGGGAGCGGCTGGGTGGGTTGAGAATTGGTCGGTTCCCTTGGCACAGTTACTTGGAAACACGTTGGACGCTAATTTCAGAAAGTGACAAGGAAAACCCATCGCTGGCCAGCCGGACCCCTAACAGCCGTGTGTGTGTGTGTGGGGGGAGGGGTGAGCATTAACTACCCCCTAGGGTTTTTGAGGCTGGAAATCTTTAGGGGGAGCAGACAGCCTCACCTCAGCTTTCTCTTGAAAAGCAAGCAGCTGGTGGGTTTGAACTGCCAACCTCGCCGTTAGCCGCCCAATGCTTAACCCAGGAGGCCACCAGGCTCCTTGATGAGAAGAAGGGCTGAGACTCACTTCCTGTAACTAAGGAAGTTCTCAGACGTGACTCGGTGAAGACTCAGTCTCAGAAACCCTAAGGAGCCCGGCTCATTCTACTCTGCTCTACAGGGCAACACGAGTCAGAACAGACTGGATGACAGCGGCTGACACAGAGTATCACTTTAACCCAAAACACCAGCATCAGAAAAGAAGAAAACCTAACAAGCCCCAAAGACCTAGGAACTCAGGTATAGCACTCTTAAAGTAATCCCTGGATCCATGGTGGCTCAGTAGCTTAGGTGCTCGGCTGCGAACCAAAAAGGTCCGCAGTCAGAACCCACCAGCCGCTCTGCCGGAGCAAGATGAGGCAGCTTCTTCAGCGACAATTCAGTGTCAGAAATCCTACGGGTGGCTCTTCTCTGAGCTCAGGGGTTGGGGAAAGACTCCCCAGCTGTGGGGTAAAGTAACATCGCAACAGTAAGAACAAAAATCAAACCAAGGTAATGTAAGACTTTTAACAGATGATGTAAATGTTTTTGAGAAGGAAGGATAAAGGAGATTGCATCTGGAAAATGCAATTTTGAAATAACTGATCTTGATACTAAAGCAGGGAAAGATCATCAGCTTCCAAGCATACTACATTCAAATCCTTCACTAACGTCCTTGAACATGGCTGCTGGGTGTCCGCAGGTGTAATTACCTTCCACAGTGAACCACCACCGCGACCAGGCCGTACATTCTGTCGGGGTTCGTTGCGTCTCCGGAAGTGTTAAACAGGCGAAGCTCTAATGGAAAAACTACCCGATAAGAAAGTTTTGTGTATCGATGTAGTTGATCCATGTACTTAAATCTCTTCAGATGGAGAGCTAGGATCATGGGCAGTTTCTTAACTTTCATCCTATGAAAAAAAAAAAAAAATGCAAAAACAGAAAGTTCATAAGATATCCGTTGTATCTGTGAAAAGACCATCCCAATTCGAGAACACGAGGGGGCTTCCAAAAGTTTGAGGGGAAATCCCATTCTCTTTCAGTTCCACTCTTTCTGTGGACTTCCTGAAGCCCCCACGCGTTCAATAAACAGATCGTCTTTGGTCGGTTTCACTAGGACAGCCCTTTACAGTTTTATATATTTCTACCATGAACTTTTCTAGGGGCAAAGTATGAAGGTCTTAAGACCACCTTCACCTCGTGATAACCCATCAGCAGCAAACCCCATAACCCAGCTCAGCACACCCCAAGGTTCCAAAGCGTATGACAGAGCACCCTCTCTGATAAGAAACACTCAGTAATGAGATGTCATTGTTGTTATCAATTCGCAGCGGAGAGCTTGTATCAGGTCAAATGAAAGAAGTGAATGAATACTTCAGTACACAGGAAGAAGCCCTGGTAACAGAGTATTCAGGGCTCAGCTGTGAACTGAAAGGTCAGCATTTTGAACCCACCCGTCGCTCTGTGTGAGACAGATGAGGAAGTCAACTTCCGTAGATTGTTGCAGTTCAGGTTTCCAAGGAACGGCTGGTGGTCTTGAACTGCGTACCTTGCGGGCTCCTAGTGTGGCACTGTAGGATCAGCACTGGACTGTGAATCCCAAGACTGGCAGTTCAAACCCACCAGCTGTTCCTTGGAAACCCTGTACCGGTTCGTTACGAGTCGGAACCGACTAGATGGCACTTAGCCAACAGCAATCTTGTTGCTGGCAGCCCAGTGCTGACCCCACAGTGCCACACCAGGACTCCAAGATTACAGCCTAGGTTCTCAGGGAGCGGCTGGGGAGTTTGAACTGCCGACCTTGTGGTTCGAAGCGACCTTGTGGTCCAGCGCCACACGGGACTCTGATGACTAAGATCCAAATATGTGTCTATTCCAAAGAAAGGTGATCCAACAGAATGTGGTAATTCTCAAACAAAATCATTAAGTCACATGCAAGTAAATTTCACTGAAGCTCAACTCCAAAGCATATTGCAGGAGGACATGAAAAAAGAACTGTCAGAAATTCAAGGTGGATTCAGAAGAGGACTTGGAACAAGGAATATTGTTGATGTCAGATGGGTCTTGGTTGAAAGCAGAGAATACAAGAAAGATGCTTACTTATGTGTTATTGACTATGCAGAGAAAGGAATTTGCCTGGGTGGGTCATAACAAAGTCTGGCTAACATCATGAAGAATGGGAATTCCAGAATGGTAAGTGTACAAATGCCCATGAATGGTGGAGGAAAAACCAGCTTCTGCAGCAGCCGAGTCCTCTGGGAGTCAGTGGAGACTGCAGTCCGGTCCAGTTCTTTTGGAATTGATGGGGTGTGACAGTGGATCAGAACAGGAGATGTGGGTAAAGAGAATGAAATAGAATGGTCTCTATAGGAGTTTGTCAGACTCATAACGCAGGAATCCTCAGAGTGCCCGACCCTCAAAAGGGAACAAGACAATCGGGGAGCTGGGGAGTTTTCTGATCTTATTTGTGAAACACAGGCCGGCCATCATTCCTGACCCAAATCACCTTTATTATGCCCGGAAACACAGCTTCTCGTGAGAGCAGTGAGCCTTGGCACTATCCTACCCAGTAACAGGCTCTTCGTCTTCTAAAGGCTCAGGTAACAAAACTCAGGCAAAACAGACCAGTCTCTGAATCCTCCAACAGGGAATTTAAAGGTTTGCTTACCATCTGCATAGCTTCCAACCCACTGCCATAGTCCATTCCGACTCACAGTGACCCTAACAGACAGAGGAGGACTGACCCTAAGGGTTTCTGATACTGTAAACCTACAGGGGACAGGCAGACAGCCCTGTCTTTGTCCCGTGGACTAGCTGGTGGGTATCAGTAGCCTAAGGCCTGACCTGCCACAGAGACCCTTTACTTATAACTTATAGCTTGCTGTAAAGTGCAGTTGAGTCAGTTCTGACTCATGGTGACCCTAAATAGGGTTTCTGAGGAGTGGCTGGTGAGTTTGAACCACCGTCCTTGAGGTTAGCAGTCCAGTGTTGACCTGAAAGCACCATATCAGGAACCCACTAAAAACCCTATAGATGACCATAGTCTCTTCTCTTCTCAACTCTGAACTCGTGATAGGAAGGAACCATTTCCTTAATCTGAAATCTCCCTCCCTGTTGCTGCAGAACCCATTCGGACTCCTGGGGGACCTTCAGGAGGAAATAGAAACCCCACCCCACCCCACCCCCAATAGAGTTTCCAAGACTGTTAAGTCTTCCTGGAACAAAGCTGGCCACATCTTTCTCCTATAGAGCGGCTGGTGGGTTTGAACCGTTGATCTTCCATTAGCAATGAGTGTTTAACCACCATACCACCAGGGCTCCTTAAATGGGAAATAAAGGAGGGAGAGAGAGAGGAGGGGTGTGGCTCAGTGCTCAGCACACCACCACAATGACGAGACCCGTACTAAGTGACATGGGAGTGAAACAATTTTGCACTTTACTGTCTTGGTGACTGTCCCCCAACCCCAGGAAATGGAACTCACCAACTGAAACAAAGACATAAATCATTTCTGTTTGTAATATTCCAGGAACAATACTCCACCTTGGCCCAGATACGGTCCATCCTTCCATTAGGTAAAAGTCCATGAACTGCCACGCCCACACTTCCCTAACTGGAGTTCATCCTGAGCTATACTGGGTTCATACGTTTGCTATATAAAAGTCATCTAGATTCTGGGGACAGCTAGCAGGACAGATTCTGGGGACAGCTAGCAGGACAGATTCTGGGGACAGCTAGCGGGACAAAGTTATTTTTTTTGTTTTCTATCCTGTGGGGTTTTTTTTTTCAGCATCTACAATGTAACAAATGACTTTCTAAGAAGGTATTTAATTATGTCATAAATTTACTTTTTCAAGGAATAGGTTCTTTTTATAACCCATTATTAACATTTGCAGAAATCATTCTTCAGTTTCCCAGATGAAAATCTTTCTAAGTAAAACTGATTTTTGTCTGTTGAACTATATATGGAGCTCTGCTAGTGTGGTGGTTACGAGTTGGGCTGCTAACTTCAAGGTCAGGAGTTCCAAACTACCAGCCATTTTGCGTGAGAAAGTTGAGGCGTTCTGCTCCTGTAAAGATTTACAGCCTGGGAAACCCTATGCAGGGTCGCTATGAGTCAGAAACGCTCCATGGCACACCACCACCACTACTGCATGAACAGTATTTACAGCTTTGGGGGCACAATGGTAAACTGCTGGACTGAAAGCTGAAAGGTTGGTAGTTCAAAACCACCCAGTGGCTCCATGGGAGAAAGACTGGGTACTCTGTGTACAGATTATACCCAAGAAAGCCTTATGGGGTAGTTCTTCTCTGTGATGCATTGAGATGACAACCCCCAACAACAACAACAACATAATCTGTATGATCTCACAGCCTCTTCTATTATTGTAAGACTAGAACTACAGACTTTTAGAGCTGGAAACTTTCTTGTGGTTGGGAAATCATCAAGTTGGTTTCAACTCAGTGATTGAGATCCTATGTACAACAACACAAAACACGGCCCAGCGCTGCCCATCCTCACAATCACTGCCATGCTTGAGTCCATTGGTGCAGCCACTCTGTCAATTCATCTCGGTTGGGGGAGGAGGGCTTCCTCTTTTTCACTGACCCTCTATTTTACCAAACGCAGTATCCTTCTCCAGGAACTGGCCACACCTGAAAACAGGTCTAAAGTATGTGAGACGAAGGTTCACTGTCTTCACTTCTAAGGAACATTCTGGCTATATTTCTTCCAAGACACATTCGCTCGTTCTTCTAGCAGGCCCCGGTATTTCCAATACTCTTCACCAACACCATAATTCAGATGCAGCTTTCACATGTGTATGAGGTGACGGAAAATACCTCAAGGTGACATTTTTGCTTTGTAACACTTTAAAGAGGTCCTTTGCAGCAAAAGTGTCTAATGCATTATGTCATTCCGTTTCTTACCTGCTGTTTTCATGGGCACTTGTGGCACTGAGGGCTGATGCACTGGACTGCAAAGTCGGTTTGAACCACAAGATCACGGTTTAAACTCAACCAGCCACTCCTAAGGAACCTTACACAGGGTCACTATGGGTTGGAAACAACTGGACGGCACTTAACAACAACAACAACTGTGAATACACACAAAATGAAATCCTTGAGAACTTGAACCTTTTCTCTATTTACCATGAAGTCACTTGCTCGCCCAGCTGTGGAGAATTTCGTGCGTGGTCTGCTGTTGCTTGCTGTAGCGTAATCCACACTGAAGGCTGAGTCTTCAATGTCCATCAGTAAGCGCTTCAAGTCCTCTTCACTTCCAGCAAGCAAGGGTGTGTCACCTGCACAGTGATGGCTGCTAATGGCGACATGGTCTTCTTCATCTAAGCCAGCTTCTTCAGATTATCTGCTCAGGATGCAGATTGAACAAACCACCTGAGATACACATATCCTGCTTTTAAGCCACTCAGTGTCCCCTTGTTCTGTTCAACCAACGCTGTTGATCTAAGTCCAGCTTTGGCATGAACACAATTAAGTTTTCTGGAATTCTCCTTCTTCATGATGTTATGACCCACCCAGTCGAATTCCTTTCTTTGCATAATCAATAAGACACAAGTAAGCATCTTTCTAGTATTCTCTGCTTTCAACCAAGATCCATCTGACATAACAGTATTCCTCATTCCACGTCCTCTTCTGAATCCAGCTTGAATTTCTGACAGTTCTCTGTCAATGTCCTGCTGCAACATGCTTTGGAATGAGCTTCAGTGAAATTTTACTTGCATGTGATTTAATGATATTGTTGGATAATTTCCACTTTCTATTGGGTCACCCTTTTTTGGAATAGGCACATATGCGGATTTCTACCAGTTGGAGTCGCTGGTGTGGTGCTGTGGGATAAAGCACTGGACCGCAAGGTTAGTTTGAATCACAAGGTTAGCAGTTCAAACTCAC